TTTTTGCTGGTCAAATTAAAAAATCATGAAAGCATTATCAAATAAGTTGATTGACTTGTTTTTCATGCAAAAAGCTAGAGACGGCAAAAGTTTGTGGTACTAATGCCGAGTGTAAGTTAGTTTTTTTTGAGTGTTTTTCTCCGTCGTTTAAGGCGCACGGCCTTAAAACGCCTGCAATTTCTATGCTCGAATGTATCCAGCATTATCAGTTCGGAACCTAGACTTTTCTTGTAGAACAATTGTTCAGCATATTCACTGATTCATTTTTTCAAATCTCTATTTTCGTCATATTTGGAGCATGTTTGGATATCAAATTACCGTCTCTTTCAAAATCAGTTATTATTTCAAAATTACCAACTCCGCTTCGGTATAGTTTCCGTTTGTTTATTTGTTTTTCTTCGTTTGTGTTTTCTCGGCTCGAAGTTTTTCGGTTTATACACTAGATGTCTGGTGGCATCATATTGGATCGTTAGATGAGCGAAACAAGTTTCCCATGCGTGTGAGTCTTGAGGTGATAATTCGAAACTTTGAAAGATATGGATAGTTTGATAGATCTAGTTTTTCCTCAATTTCAATGAAAATTCAGACTTAGCGGTTTTCGCCTCGGTTTTGTATGCTAGTTTTCGCTATGTCTCTGTGTTTCAAGTTATTTCTTTTCATCTTTTAAAAGGTTTCGGCTTAGTGGACTCATTTTTTTGCGAAAAAGTGCCCTGTGTGGGTTCCGAAGGTGGTTTAACTTTTTTGCCTTTTTTGATGCATTTTTTTTCAGCCCATTGATGCTCGGTGTTGAAATTTGTTTAAATTTATTTACTTCTGAGATGATTTTATTTGACGCTTTTTTATACGAAATATGTTGATTGTATAATAGTTTTCTCAACCGGTCATGTTTTGCCTTGGAGTTTTTCTGTTAGCTTTGTATGTCCTCTGATGGAAAGCCGGGCTTCTGGTTTTTAGCTTCACATTTGCCTGGCTTTAACGTTTGTTGACACTAAATGCTGGACTGGACTCTGATTGGAAGATTTTAGATGCGCTCAAGTCTATTTTAAACCTTCGTTTAAATTTTTTCCTGTTATTTTTTTTAAAATGCAGTTACTTTGGACCAAAATCCTACTCTGGAATAGCTTTTCTCCAAAGAATTTTTCGGTTTCGTTGCTTATGGATGTTGCCGTTTTTTAACATATCTTTACATCTGTTGTTGCTGCGAAGTGTAAGTACCGGATTTATTTGGTAATCATTCTAAGAGATCACATCTAAGACGTTCACAGTTGAGATTTTTATTTTCTATACATTTACATGTACAGATATTTACATTTTCTGTCACCGCGAAAATTAGCCATGTTATTTTTGTAATCACTCCAATAGATCCCGTACAAGGCGTCCGTATCTGGAGTTTAAAAAACCGAGTCATAATTTGAGGAAACTGGATCGCTTATTTCGATCTGACTACTTTTATTGAAACTCTGAAATGAATTTTGTGTACAAAATCAAAGAGAAATGCTGTTTCAAAAGTTGAACAGTCAAATTTGGAAGTAGTTAGATTTTGATCAGATTTGTCAAAATTGACTGTATTTTTTGCGAAATTGATATTATTTTCTTGAACGGATAGAAATTTTTAAAACTATGACGGTTTTTTGAGTTCGACAGAAAGAACGACACAAAGGGACCGTCTAGCAATGGCAATGTACGGAGCAATAATTCTAGAACCCGTGAATTGTCACGGGCCTTATGTGACCAATTAAAACACAACGAGCTATTGATGTATGCCTTGGAACTGTCTAATATGCCTCAAACCTGTACTTGAGGACAACCTTTCCCACTCACTCACTCACTACGTTGCCTTAAAAGTGGGTACACACACCTAAGACAACACATTTTGCGACATTTTAAGCGACGTTCATCGACGAGGACTGCCATGATGTTGGGATTTAGTCAGAAATTTTGCTCCACAAAAAAAATCCAGAAATTAACAAAAACGCGAAGTGGTTCGATTTTGATCAGGTTTTTCTTTTTGTCTAAATTTATGTGAAGTTGAGGTTATTTCCTGGGACTGATAGATTATAATAATAATGTAGTTCCTGCGAATCACAGAGGATCTATCAGTAGGCCTTAAGAGTCCTGACGAGGATAGTCCATTTGTATTATCTCCCCACATTCCAGACTGTTTAATTTTGTTGAGCGAAGCTCTTTTTTGCGACTCAAGGCAGTTTTTTTGCGTCTAGAATTTTCATGTGGTACCACTATTGCAGCCAAATATGGTCAGGTTGTGGTAGACCTGAAGCGAGAATTCAAGTGAGAGCTCGTCCTCACATACTATCATTGCCATGGCATGGGATCGAATACACGATCTGACGATTACAAAGTGCACGCCTTACCACAATGCTAAGAAGGTTTCAAAACTTTGACGGTGTGTTACTTTAATTAGAAAAATAGCCGCTTGTGGATGCACTTGATTTTCAATCTTTCGTAGAAAAGATATCTGGTTAATTGTGTTTGACGATTTTGGTTCAAGTGGCATGAATGATTTTTTAAATCTACTTATATTCGTTTCCAGTTGCCGTTGATAAATCAGATGCTCACAGCGGAGTTCATTAAGCAATCAGGCAGTTACTCGGACAAAGAGAAGTACAGAACCATGTTCTGGCATCGACGCAAAAGACAGAAATCCCATCTTAAGATTTTGACAGTTTTTGGAATATCAAGTTAGCCTATCGAGAACGTTTTTTCAACTCAATCAATGCTTACTCAGGTATTTGCAAATATCAACTGATTCCTTTTAAATTTTAGGTATTCGGTTGTCTTAATTGCTATGGTTTTTTCAAGTTGATCTTTATTCAAGCCAAAATGAGATAAACCTAGGAAATTTTTGATAGATCTAGCTTCGACACATTTTTGTAAATATTCTTCAACTTAGCGGCTTTTTCCTTTTTCTGTTGGTTATTCTGCGATGTTGTTTTTAATATATCGCAACTGGTATGAATCTTAGATCAACTTTGTAAAAAAGTTCATTGTTAAAGTTGAAAACTAAATCAAGAAGCTCGCAAATTTAATATAAAAATTCAAGAAATTGTTTTTTAGTTTTTGTATTATTCTCTTTTGAATTTTTTTGGGGGAGATTTCTGTGATACTAACGCAGCAGCCGTCTTTTCTTTTTTATTTCAGTTTTCTCTCTTTTAGTGGATGAGTTAAGCTCAACAAGATGCTCGTCAGTTTTTTAAATAACATCGGTTATCTTCAGGGCTATCAAAAAAAAACAAGTGCTGTTTAAAACAGCTGATTCCACAAAACATTCCTGAATATTTTCAGGCTCTTGATGCGTCCTTTAGCATAGATATATGCAAAAGCGTAATAAAACTTGCATTTTGCCTGAGATTGCTCAAAGACTAATAAAAAATCCATTTTTTTTTCTTAAAAACCATATTTTGCCAACACTGGTATTTTAGCTTTTTAGAATTATGATTCTACCGGAATGAAAAGTTTTGAAATTTTGTTCAGAACTGGTATCTTGCTCCTTAGGAAATTATATTTATAATATATATTTTTGGAAACAATTGGAATATCTATTTGTTTCCCACCCAGTAATTTTGTTATGGATTTTTTTGCTAGCTTTGGATCGCCTTAGATGTGCAGCCGGGCTTCTGGTTGTTAATTCACATTTGGCCTTTTTTGCTGCTAAAAAATTGGGAAATGATACTCACATTAATCTACCTCAAAGTTTATTTTTTTGTACTTGGTTGATCTTTTGTCTATGATCGAGATGAACTTCGGTCTAATTAAGTGTTAATGACGAAGTGGTTTATCGCATAATTAGGTTGTGTGCCTTTTCTCGGAAAAAAATCTTAAAGAGTTTTACGCTCTGAATTGATGTTTTTTGGTTTGACCTTTGATTTCTTTTTTAGTTCAATACATTTGGTAAATGGAAGGCAATATAAGCTCTTTAGTTTTTCGGTAAGAAAGAGCAAGGGGCGCGAAAAACGTGATTTAATTAATTTTAGTTGTTAAAATTGACTTTAACTTAAAATAAAAAAATTTCTAAATAAAAAATCAGCCATCGTTTCAGTTTTGTGAACTTGTTTTTGTTTGTTTTTATGAAAGTGTCAATCATAAAAGATTTTTGAAGTTCAAAATGCTTTGAGATGATATTTTTTTTGGAAAGTTAAAAATATTGAAAAGTTGCAAATCATTTTTCAAAAGTTGAAAAATGTTCAAAAAAATTGCAATCATTTTTTTCGGTTTCCTTGAGACTTTCCCAATTGTGTGTTGACTTTGTTTTATCAATTATAAGATTAATAGACTCTAATCATATCGGTTGGCTGATATAAGAATCGATTAAAGCATTGACACGGTTCAAAGTATATATACCAACTCGTAATGAGTAAAATGAATTGTCCCATCGGTATAAGGTTTGGCAATCATTGAATTTAGGGCACGTGTTGGAACTCACGGCAACTTGGTCATTGATTAAACAAAGGGGAAGTTAAAACACCTCCCTCTTTGTCAGGTAAATTGTAAACTGTCCCGCTGATCACTCACCTGTTTAAACTTGTTCTCTAGGACAGTCTAAGTTTTCAATGTAAATAGCATCCATTTTCTCCTGTTAGATGAACGTTAATCTACCGTTGTGTAATCGTTGCAGTGATTGCTTTGAATACAACTCTCTCTATAATTTGGACCTCTCCTGAATTAAGTATTTTAAGAGGTAGTAAATTATGTAATCTTTTGATTTCGGGTGCTTATGTTAGCCCAAATTTCGGTGCAAGTTTTCGAGTTCTTTTTATTTAAAAGTCCCAACGGGTCAATGATTGCGTCTCTGCCATGTGTTTTCCAAAGTTTTCCCAAATTTGTTGAGGTTGTTGGTAGCGCTATCTTGACAGCTTCTTCGCGTCTTAATCTCAATGTTTGTCGGCATTATGTTCCCAGCATGATCAGCCCTCGCAACGGATTAAGAGGCATTAGCGATTACAAACACATGCTTTGTATTGTGGAACTCTCAAATCTCGCTCCGTACTATCTTGTAAAACTTAGCCCAAAATCCGCAACCTAACTCTTACCCACGAGCAATATTCGCAAAGCCTCATTTCATTGCGCCCTAAAGAAGATCCTCGCTCAAAGTAAAACCCATTTCACTCAACTAACACTTTCTCTGTGTCAATACTTTAATATCGCAATTAATCACCCCTCCCCGGAAACGCACTTAAAAGCCCCGTGTGATCTAGAAATGAATCTCTCGAAATGTGGTCCAGCGTGTGAATCGAGATAAGCATTGCGACCTAGTTAGACCAGCCTAATGCGACTAGTGTTTGCCAATATGTCTTGCCTTGTGCTACCTGATCGAGCTTAGAATTACTAAGAAAAGTTCCCAGTCAGAATTTATTAAAACTTTATATCGCCTTTCTCCCCGTTGCCCCAGTAAAATTTGGGCTCTTGAATCAAACCGGGTCCAATTTGAGGTATCGCCTGCATTTTGTGTCCTTTAATCCTGCTCTCAATTCGAAACGCCTTACTCAAAAATTAAATAGCAAAACAAGCAGGAATTTTTGAGATTTACCTGTGTTGTTTTTGTTCAAACAACTGGAAGTTTTTAACACTCGGTCTATCGAATTTCGTCTGGAAATTTTAAATGCTGGACTCCACTTTGAGCGCCGGCTCTTTTGAATGCATTGAAGTCGATTTTGAACCTTAGTTTTATATTTTGTCTAGTTATTTTTTTAAAAGCAATTTGTTATGACTAAAAACCTACTATCGAGTAGCTTTCATCCAAAGCGTTTCTCGGTTTCTTTGGCTCTGCTGATTTTTGCCTTTATTTTACATATCTTTACATCTGCTGTTGCGGCGAAGTGTAAGTACCTGATTTTTTGTGTAATCATTCTAAAAGATCACATCTAAGTCTAAGACGTCCCCAGTTGGACTTAGAAACGAGTCGATAATTTGATGAAATCTGATCCCGCATTTTGATTGGAACACTGAACTCAAAATATTTTTTTCCCTACAAAATCTAAAAGTGAGATACCTAAATTTAAAATTCAACTGCAAAATAAAGGAGTGGATAAATATTGATCGGATTTGTTAAATTTGTCGACAATTATGAGAAGTTGAGTTTTTCCTTCGACGGATAGGCGGTGTTTTTCCAATAATGAAATTGCCAGTTTGCTGTTTTACTCGATTTTAAATATGAGTACTTTGATGATAGAAAATTGGTTCTTTTTCGTTATCTGCTAAAATGTGTCTGTTTGTTTTGGCTCAAATGAAAGGAAGAAGGATTTTTTTGAACTTGAGATATTTTTTATCTGAAGATGATCGTTTTCAGTTGAAGTTGCAAGTCCAGAAGATTACAGCAGGATCGATAGAGCTATCGCGCTGTTACTCGCACCAGCGGATGTGCAGAGCCATGTTACGCATCGATTCATACCATCGATTCAAACCCCTCCGTCCTCCATGGTTGCCGACGTTGAGATTCGCTGGAAACCACCAGTCGCGAGTATCGACGTTGACAACTACACCGTGTATTACCGATTTTCACCAGTTGACAAGACAGAGAAAAAGGAAAAACCCAAGTTTAAATCGAGTGTTGTTCCTGGAAACCAAACGTTTTTAGAAATCAGAGGTCAAAGTATTGACGATGTTTTTGAATACCAACTGCAAGTTAGCACATACGAGAAAGTTTTGAATCGAACAGAGAGCTTTTTCGGAGCTTGTTCGAAACAAAATCCTGTGCCGAAATATTTAGTGGTTTCTCCGCGGACAGTCCACCTTTACGATAAACTAAAACACAAATTCGAAATCATTTTCAGCTCAGATGAAGGGAGTCAAACAGAAGCAACCGAAGTGACCAAAATAAGTTCAATATCATACATTGCGTTTAAAAATGAGCTGTTTTGGATCGACCAGAACCGTAACCCAAAACCGTCAATTGTCCAGTTTTCTATGGCTAGTAAGACGAAAGTCGGAGATTTAGTTTGGGTAAGCGAAGATGCGGACCTTCTTACAGTGGACTGGGTTCAACAGGTGTTATATTGGGTGGAGATCAGAAGTCGGAAAATAATAATGTTTGACCTTGTCAGAGCCACCAACGAAACTGACCCTAATACCTATTTTACTGCACAAGTCTTCCCGTAAGTTGTTACTCAAAATTATTAGAGTCATCCTGCTGCATTTATATAAACTCATGTGCAGGGGCGCGTCTAAGATTGTCTCCAGGGGAGTGGATTTTAAGAAAATTTTGTCAACCAAATTGATTTTCTGAGCTCTCCCCCTTCACTATAAATTTTCTGCGCCGGAGGCAAATTTTGAAAAAAAAGGCCAAAAAGGCGTTGTTAGTGACTTTTTGGAAAAATAGGGCTTTAAGACAAAATTCAGGGTCCGTCAGCCAAAAATGGATATCTCAAAATAGTACAAAGGGGGGACTCTTAAGGTAGGCAGGGGGTCGAATCTCTTAAAGACCATCATTTTCGATCACGTAGTTGAAGGAATTTCGATATTTGAGTGTTTTTTGTTCGCATAGGTACAACGCAGAAACTTGACCCCAATTTGAATAATATATTATATGAAAGCCTCTTTCAGTCGTGGTTTGAACCAATTGGGATTCTTGTTTTGGATTTCAGATACCAAAAAAGTTACCGACTTTTTCCGTACATGGATAATTTAAGTTCGCAAAAAGAACATGGATAATTTAAATTGCGAGAAAAAATGGTCTGTTTGCCTTTGAAGTTAAGCATTCTCAGAATTGCTATAGGGGTTTGTAGTGTACCACCTTGCATGTCGCTTAAGTTAGTGACAACCTTTTGTGGTTTTTGTTTATTATATTAGGTGTCCAACAGCAGTTTATGACCCATGCTGCTGGGCAATACTTTTGAGCCTAGTTATTGTTGTAGTGCGTCACTGCGTACCTAGTAGCTAGTAGGCAGGCTCGAAAGCGGCGTGAATAATTTGCATATTTTCCTTGATTAAACAAAAGTTAAATCTTTCGTCACAGAGCGTGGATATAGTGTTTTTAATTACATGTAGAACTAGCTGAAGTTTTTGTACCGAGTTTTCGAGCACCGTCATTCAAAAATCAATAAAAAAAACTAAAATCGAAAAAATAATCACTTATTAGAGCCGATGAACGTAGTTTAGACTTTTATATAGGTCGTGATGATTTTTTTCAGGAAGTCGTAATTTGTTCGGGATTTTCGCGTTTTGATTTCTTTTCAAGTTCAATTCATTTCTATCGAACGGCAAAAGCGTATTAAAGGTCACGAATCACGTGATCCACTTCTAGTTTCGAAAATGGATTTTATTTTTCAGATTTCCCAGCGGAATAAAAAACTTGCTTGTTCATCCAGTTTTTTCAGATTGGGCGGTCAATTTTATCAACAAATTCAATCATAAATTGTTCTAAAAATGCAAAGAGCTTCAAGGCTAGCTGTTTTTTTCTTTGAAGTTCAAATAAAACTAGTCATTATTTTTTTTCTGTTTACTTGAGTTATTGGACGCTTCCAACGTGTTGATTATGTTTAGAATTTCCTCAAGTCTTTCCCAGTAAAGGTTATGAATTCCAGAGGAACTACAAGAATCATTCTAGCTAAAATAAAAAAAAAGATCCGTAGCATTAAGTTGGTAGCTTAGCATTCTGTCGAGATATCATCTGAAAAACAAAAATTCTAATATTTCTCGACTTGGCGACTTTTCTATGTTTTTTTTGTATTTCAAATTACAGCTAAAAGATTTTTTACATGATACCAACCTTGATTTTTCACAAGATTTTATCTATGCGGTAAAAATTGGGCTGAAAGAACCCACCCTATTCAATGGTTCCTTCCCGTGACTTGGAACCATAGTTATGAAAAGAACCCTCTTTTTTATATGCTGCTTTGCGTCCAGTATGTTCTGAACGCTTTCTGCTAATTAAGGGAGATCATCTTTGAATTACCGCATGAAACTCTTCAAAAGCAAGTTGATTGTTTCTGATTTTTTTTAAAAGTGGATTGGTATAAAAAACAACGGGTTTCATATTGAGTTGTCTTTTCAGAACTAAAGAGTTTGCATTGGACATCGATGAGAAGATAGTGTCGCTAGTAGTTGACCCCTGGATCTCGGGACTGTTGACCTTCATTTCGGAGAAGCCAGATCGGTCCAGAAGTATACACCAGGTGGAAGTGTATGGAATAAGATACAGCGTGAAGATGGAGAGTGGTCATATGACTAATCTGGTCGACAGACAGGCATTCAAACTCTACCCGTTGCTGGACCCCGACTTCAATGATGAATACTCTTTGTCAGAGAAGTACGTTATCTTATTACAATAATTGGTTATTTCGGATATAGTAAAGCCTAAGATTAATATCGAAAGTTATACAAATTATGCTGTTTTGGTGTAAAAATTAGCGTTTTCTATACATATGAATCAATTCAAGATCTGCTGGTTAGTGACCGACAATGTTAAACTCGTGATTTGTATGATACTCATTCTTATAATTTCTCCAATGAAACTTATAAACAAGTTAAGTTAAAGTTATTGTTTTAGGTATGACGACGAGACAGCTTTAGAAACTTTTGGTTGTAAAGTCGATCAGGTTCAAAAGTGCCATGCACTCCTGGGAAATCGACTGGGACCCACACTTCTAGTTAATTCTCTGGCATTGATAAACGAACGCTTAGTTGTGACAGCTGAAAGTTCTGGATCCGAATCTGGAGCTGACTTCAAATTCGTCCGAATGTCTTTTGATGGATGTTCGTGCCAGGAAGTGGAAATAATGAACAATCCAGATGTCCCGCATGGAACAATACCGCTGTTTGCTTCCATTATATCAGCTACTGCCGATTCGAAAGGTGTCACTTGGATGACAAAAAGAGCTTCCCAGAACTTCCTGAGCTGTGAGCATGTCAATAGTATTGACGGAGCTGGCGAAGTTTTGACATCCCAGGAGTTACCGCTTCCCCCGGTCCAACCACAAAAGGAGTTCACAGACATAGTTGCATTTGGTCACGATTTGCAACCAGTACCGCCTGAGAAGTGTCTCATTCCTAGAAACTACTCAGTTAGTCCTACATTACTTGCAATGACTTATAACTCGATAAATCTAGGGTTTAAACCCGATTTTGTTCCGAGTAGAATTGAGGATCCAAGTTGCGTTCACACGAAAATGCCGACAGTCGTTTTCTCAATTTTCTTTAAAGAAGTTGATAGTTTAGCGCAAATTGACACATGCGGACCTACGAGCGAGCATGCAATGGTTAAATGCAATGTTAGCTACGATGTAGACCTAATTGGTAAAAATAAAACTATTCTGAATCTGAAAGCAGTCACGACTTATGTTTTTCAAATCGGAGTCACGAACTATTTCAGTTATCAGTACCCATCACTCAGTCCCCCTGTTTATTTCCGAACGTCTATTGGGCCACCTTCAGGCGTGGAATCTTTCCACGTATACCGGGTGAACCCGTATGAAATTATGTTGACCTTTATGAACCCCAGGCAATTAAACGGACCTTCAAATGACCTCCAATTTTACATTGGATGGCGCAGCTCTGATAATTACCCAAAAGATCTGAAGCACGTAATTTTTCAGCCGGAATATTCGAGAGGAAAGAAGACTTATTCAGTAACCTTGAAAGACCTGCAGCCCGCTACGTTGTATAAAGTTGCAATCAGCGTTTATCATGCGCTTCACGAAGATTTAATTTCGCCACCTAAAACAAAAACCATAAAAACATTTGACCTGCCTAAAAAGTTGTTGCTGGAAAATGTAAACGAATCCACAATAGAAATGTCGTGGACTTTTTCAAGGCAACACGATTTTGAGTCCGCGATTGTTAGTATATACGACATTGATGGAGAGAAAAATGAATTGGTTGAATCGACAACAGAAGAGAATCTTCTGATGCGAAGAGGCGAAAAAGTGAAATTTACGTTTAGTGAATTGAAGTTTTATAATATGTACAAAGTTATGCTTACAGTTATTTACAAGACTGAAATGCTGGTAACTCAAACGAAATCAAATGCAACTGCAAATAGTTATCAAGACGATACACTTATTTTAAGGACGCTGCCCGGTAACCCGGAAGCCCCAAATAAACCCGAATTGCACCGTAACAGAAGAATTTTAAGAGTATTATTGGAATCTAGAAGACTAAATTGTCCCAAAAATTCCAGCTTGATTTTCGAAGTGCAAGCCTGCAAAGTCTCAACAGAAACGGAACCTCTTCGAGAAAGTTGCTCACAGATTTATAAAGGAAATCGTTCCACTATTGATTTGCAAATTGGAAAAGATATTACAATAGGCATTTTTCTGCGAGCGAGGGTCAGAACTGACTTCGGTGTGAGTCATTTCAGCCCGAGTGTCAACTCGTCATTCGCTTATCTTCTGCCCGATGATTCGGCACCTGATATTAAGTCAAGTGAGCTTAAAGTGTTCGGACTGGCCATGACTTCCCAAACAGCTTTGCTAATGTGCGCTTTTAGTGGCTTTGTGATACTGATTTTCGTTTTCATTTCTTGTCGAAACTGGTGCGTAATTTCCAGTTTCAAAAACAAAAGAATATCGGAAGTTACTTCACCAAATACGATACAGCTTAACACTTTGAACCGAGCTAGATTAAGTTTGCTCCAGGAAGCGCCGTTTAAAGCTGAAAATGATATTTTGTATTATGTGGGAACAAATTACACAGGCAGTAAAAAGTTCGATTCATTGCAAGGCTTGAAGATGATTAAGGCGAATTACATTCAAATCGACAACTTGATTGGATCTGGCGCTTTCGGAGAAGTATACTCGGCGTTGTCGAGATTAAGAGAAGGCTCGATCGCCAACACCCGAATTGCGGTAAAGTTTCTAAACAACAACGCAGGGCCTGAGCAAAAGCAAGACTTCATTCAAGAGGCAATTTTGATGCGAAATTTTGAGCATCCGAACATTGTCGAAGTTTACGGTATTTGCATGGACAGTGAGCCCATTGGAATTATCATGGAGTTAATGCAGAATGACCTTTTAACTTTTTTGCGGCAGTCGAGAAACGAAGACGAAGATGAGTTTGATGAACATTCGAACTGCTCGTCAAGGGAACCCTTGTCGCTCAAAGACCAAATTATGTTTGCGATTGATATTGCAAATGGATGTAACTATTTAAGCGAACACCACATGTTACACAGAGATCTTGCCGCTAGGAATTGCCTGGTCTCAAAAATTGCAGATCCGGCTTTGAAGGAAGCAAGAGCTAATTGTGACTATATTGTTAAAGTAGGAGATTTTGGATTAGCGAGAGATGTATACAAACAGGAGTACTACAGAAAAACGGGCAATGCATTAATGCCAGTTCGCTGGATGTCGCCAGAATCCCTAATTGACGGAATCTTCACATCCCAATCTGATGTCTGGAGCTACGGGGTTGTTTTCTGGGAAATTATGACGTTTGGAAACCAGCCGTATCCAGGCAAAGATAACGTCGATGTGCTGCACTTTGTGAAGTCTGGCGGTAGATTGGAACCTCCAGAATCTTGCATCCCGGAACTGGGACAAATGATGGAGAATTGTTGGAATAAAAAGCCGAGCAAGCGTCCGACTTTTTTCGACATTCTGAATTTTCTGGATTCGTTTTTGAGGCTTTTATATTTCAATCAGCAGAATGATGGGACTAACGAAGAGCAAACCGAAAATGATCCAGGGTTCTACAGTCCGATATATGTTACACCTTCAGGAATGAATGTGAATAGTTCGCAGCTTAATGAAACTCAGGAATCTCTCTTGCCAACGATTCGTACAGAGTCTCCTGAAATCATGAACGATGGATCGATCCCAAAATGGGACTACCCTTGCTCAACTGGGTCAAATAAAACAGACACTAATACAATATATGCCAACTCACTCGGAAATTATAGCACGCTAGCTAAACGAGACGGCCTGACAGATGATATTTCAAGTTTGCTTTCGATTGCAATGAGTAATTCGGCTATCAGTCAAAATGAATCATGCAACGATGATGATTTCTCGAGAAGTTACATGCGTGTGTGTAATCAACTGAGAGTTGATGATACAGCGAGTCCGTTTCCAGAGCAGTTCAGTGATAGCGTGGCGGGCGCATTCAGTTGCAACTCGGTTTACTTGTCCGATGCTGAATTTGGGTTCCAAGATGACCATCTTGGTTACTGCACTGCAAGAAAGTGAGTTTCAAAGTCGTGGCTTTTTGCCGAGTAAGATAAATCATTAATATTTTGGTAAGTTAGTGTAAAGTACGTCTAGAATGACAAGTGTACCAAATATGGGCAATTTAAGCGATTCACTTAGCGATCCAGACCCGTGTTCAACTAATTCACCAAAATTTTGAGAAAAAAAAACATTAACAAACGATCGTCTTTTTGCCCAATGTTTTAAACGATATATGTATGCGATATATTTAACTAATAAAAAAGTTGACAGGAAAAAGAGTTGAACGATTTTCTATGCCTAATAAAAGTAAGCACTTAAAATTATATTCAAACTTTAAATTAAGTTATACACAAATTGTTCAATTAAAAAATCATACACTTGCCAATGCCACCGACACGATAAAGTTATTAACATTTTTTAAATCTGTTTTAGAACGCTGACTGCAAGTACTCCTATGGAAAGGAAACACAAGCCAGAGGCGAGCAACCGTTTAAACTCAAGCGATGCGAAAAGTTATCAGAATATGGAAGATTCCCCTCTTCTATCGAGACATTCGCCGCCTCCGAAACCCAATTCAAATTACGTCATCAAAAATGGTTACGCAATGCTGCCCAATATCAATCGCAAGCTGAACAGCTTCAAGAAAAATGCCATATCGGACCCCTCAAAACCCTTGCCGTTGCCGCCAAAACCGACCAATCAGGATGCTTTTTTTGACAGCAGCCCAGATTTTGACAATCTGAGGCTAGATACAGATTTGGACCCCGTGAAATCGTTTCCAGAATAGAATTTCCAGAAATTGAAAACGTTGGAAATCAGCTTTGTGCAATATTGCAAAACTGCATTAGAAAAATTATCGGCCATATGTATATCTAGTGAACTCAAACACGATTTATTTTTGCTTTACTTTTTTTCTACTTCACTGTATTTGAAATTAACCACCATCAAAACTTCGCTTTCCCCTATTACTTGAGAATAGTTGAGACTGATCTCGAAAAGAGCTAGAACCCAGGATCAAGTTTTCCCTGCGAGTGGAAGCTCCCTCGAAAACGCTGGAATGTGATCCAGTGTCTCAATGGGATATTCAGTTTTTGTTCCGGGTGTGTTTTAGTTTTTTTTTGTTTTCCACAAAATCAGGCATCCTACATCATCATCGGAATGGGTCAAGTGATATATCAAATTTAAGCATTTTCAGTAGTGATTCGAACGACATTATTATTTTTCAAAAAGTTTACCCAGTGGCGAGAAAAACTAGTCTGAAGTTTTTGATTTTTAGTTCAATTTCGAGCGAGTAAAGTGATCCATTAGAGTTCTTTATATGAAAGATTGATATTTTTACACCAAGAAAACTTGATTTCAATGAGAAACTTTTTTTGTTTGCCATTCATTTTTTGAAGCAAAATGTCAATTATGCTTATTTTATTTTTACGCATTGGTTTGGTTCTCTAATTGCACCTCGCACTAAAAATGAACTTGATTTGAAGAAAAAAAGAAGAACTTTTCTGTAGTTTTTTTAATGAATATTATGTATTACTACTCATTTCACTAGTATTATCACTTTGAGTCGCGTGGTTTTTTTTGTGTTTCAGGAAAAGTTATCAAATTTGATTTTTTGCGTTTAGTCTTTTGATCTTGTTCAATTTCAAATGAGTTTCATTTGCTAAAGGAGGGCAAATTGTTCTCTCCAATTACGAAAGTGAAATGCGACTGACTATAACTTCCAAAAATGCATCTGAATTTGCGAATTCCCAGCCATATAAAAAGTTCTATGGGTCCATTTTTTTTTTCAATTGGGGTAATTTTATGAATCAAGTGTTAGTCATGAACGATTCTCGAAGTACTTTAACGAGATTTAGTTTTCCCATTTAAGTTAAACAAGCGTACAAGCTTTGTTTTTTCAGTAAAACAGGAAAGTTGAATAATCGGTTAAATTTTCGCAATTATAATGGGGCTCGGTTCAGTGTGCTTAAAGTATTGGGAATTCGGCTTTTTGTCTTTTTTAATCATAAATTTTTTCTATTTTCATTTTTGAAGCTTGCTTTTAGGTTCGCTTTGAATGGAGTTTAGGAGATCTCATTCGCTTTTCGATAAATATCTCTATTAATTGTAAAAATTCGGACTGAAGAAAACCTTTCGAGATTTTTTTATCGGCAAAGGCTGTTTCCGATTTCTTTTCGACAAAGACTCGAAAAATAAAACGAAACAAAATTACTGGGTTGCTTTGAAAGAACTTAGTCGAGTGTTAAAAAATATTCGAGTGTGAGGATTTCTGATTTTTTTTCGATATACGCATGTGTTTTCAGTTTCAGTTTTATTTAAGTCAATCATGTTCACTTGTAAAATTTATCAAAGTTGATCAGATATCATTGCAAAGTTGTAAAAAAATCCAGATTTTGTCACTGTTTGCAAATAATTTCACCTCGAGTTGTTAAGTTTTTAATCCTTAATATAAATAACACGCCATAAGTGGTCGTAATCTATAAATGTTTCTTAAGAAGAAAAATAAGCTAGTCAAGAGAATTAAACCAACATTCTTAATCACCGAACATGAAATTCAGTAAAAAAGCAAGATGAAATGTTACAATGTTCGATTTCATGCGATTCAATCATCAATGTTTTAGAATCATGCTAAAATAAATGTCTTTTTGGAAAATATAAAATTGTCTATTCTCAATTTTCTGTCTCGTCTCGTCATCCCGAAAAAAATCGAGACAAACGTATGAAAGTTTTCGTTAATCTAGTTTTTTGCGTTTTTAATACGTTTTTTTTTCGACTTCAGGCTGTTGTCTCATTTTCTAGCTTGCTTTGTAATGGTACACAAGTGGCGAAAAACAGTTTTCAAATAACTTTAACTAAGTTGGTTTCTGACTATTTTAAGGAACATAATTTGATCTTTATAAAATTTAAAGCCTGTTGAAACCTTGCTGTATTTCAGATTTCTGACAGCTTTTAGAACCAAATTTACATTCTCAAATATGTTTCTGATTTTATCTCGAAACTTGCACCACCGCATTTGACTAATCCGTGTTCAGGTCTTAATTGATATTTATTACTTTACTGGCCTGAACTAGCTCGCAATCTTTCTCATCTGAACTGAAAAGTTAACACAGGGCCGATAAAATTACTAGTTTATTAAGTAATAATTCAGTTGGTTTGGTTTGATCTCGGACATTACTTGTTGGCTTTAGAGTTCAACTTTTCCTGCTATTTTTTCGATCTGAAGAATGACAGAAAGCACAGCTGGTTTTGCTTTGCAGGATATTTGTGTTCTTGGCGGGATCATAACCGACTTTATATGGTTAGTTACCTTTTACTTAGTTGAGTGGCGATAAGCAGACAACCGCGGAAGCCGATTCATGTTTTTAAACAGAAAATTTAGTCATGCCATACAATTTCGCCTCCATTTTGTGTTGTCGGTTTAGGGCTAGGGGTAAGAAAGTTCTACTATGACTGGTGATTGGTGGGGGGGGGGGGGGGGACTGTACAGCTGATCTAATAATTTATTATATTGACCTGGCTTAGTCTATCTTCTTACAAACGTAACTTATACAGAAATATCGTTTTAACTTAAGGGATGGTTTTTTTAAGCAGCCTGCTCCTCTGTTGTTTTTTTTTTCATCAGTTCTAGTAGTTAGTCCCCGCAATAATAATCAGAAGTTCCGGCGACTAAATAACGAGCTGTTGAGCTTATTATGGAGAAACGCTGTTGTCCCGCTGTTTTTTTCTTGGCTGGGTAATTTTGTCTCACCCGCATGCAACCAGCGCGGACTACGGAAGTCTCGAACCTCGTTTAGTATCACAAAAACATTGACTTATTTAACGTTCACTCTGAAGTACTTTCGGCTGATATGAAAGTATAATAACTAGCTGTTAGTTGCACGGGAGCTTATTTATAGTTTATGAAATGAACTATTTGTGTAATATTGTTTGATTTCCGAGGCAATTCACGCTTGTCAGAAATGTGTTTCAAGCACTGGGAACAGATGTGTGGGGTTGATCCCGCCAATCCTTCTGAAAATAAAACAGATCCGCAATCTAATCCCGGAGCTTATAAAACTGGAAACCTGAAAATAGTGGTTCTTTTTTAATGTATTCGATATATTTGATTGCCAAATCAAAGGCATACCTTTGAAATACTTAACTGAAATACAACCATTTTCAAAACAAGGTATTTAAGAAGTTTGAAATTCAATTAATTGATCTGAAATAGCCAACAACTATAATAAACTTTGAATATTCGAGATTCTAATCTCAAAGAAGCTCATGAAAGGGCTTCGTGAGGTTCGCCTAAATCATGTATCATCACTTTAACACTTATATCATTGCACGTCAAACTTGAGGTTCTGAAATGATTTTCTTCAAGGCTTATCATTTGACTTAAAGAAGAAAAGGCGATGGAAAAAATCGTGGCTCATAAATAATATTTGATGAACTTGTTGCATGAAACTCCTACAAAACAAATGGTTAAAATCTAAACAAACGGTAGTAGTCAACAAGCCGAAAATAAGATTACCGTTCCAACAAGCCGAAATTTAACATTGTTATACAACATAGCAACAGATTGTCGCTGTTGTTATGCAATTGTTACGTAATTCTGATGCAATTTCGGCTTGAAGATATGGCGGTTTGTTGCATATCCACCGAAATAACTGGTGTGTTTTATTTCTAAGGAAATCACACGTTGTTGGCAATTTAGCATTGCAAGGAACGGTTACCTAGCACTATTTAGACAACCGCCTACTCATACTCGTTAATAAGCTGATAAATACTATATTAACCAATCAGAATTGAGACAAGGAAGAAGTTAATAATTATTTATTATTTATTTCGTAAATTTTCTTTGTCATCTTGATTCTGATTGGTTAATATTTTGTTTGTCTGCTTACTGACGAGTATGATTACGCGATTTTCTAAATCAGACCGCACTCCGCAAGGAACACCGTAGTGTTTTTCGTAAAACAATCACATATTCATTTTTCAAGATATGTACAGTCGAGTACATGAGATTCTTTGTGGAGGTTTAACAGACCAGTTATTTCACTAACTTTAGTGAGCGTTAGTGTTATAGTAAGACTTTTCTTTTTTTTTCTAAGCCAAGTCGCAAATATTGGTGCCAGTCCTAGGATACCTTTACGGCTTTTTGACAGCTTGTGCTTGGACATTCGAATAGTAATAAGTTAGCACAGTTGGTGCATTTTAAGTTCATCAAATGAACTGAAAAAAGCAATTTGCTTCAAACAACTTGATAATGATAAAGTTTCGATTTCAGAAGTTTTCTAAATCAATATATCGCAATTTTTTGAAATTCATTATGTATACATAATGTGGCCTTATGCTTTCCAATTTATTACATGGAATATAATAAACTGAAGGCATCCACACTGACTTCGCTTGTAATAAATTGGAAAGCACAAGGCCACATTGTATAAACTATGTATTTCAAAAAATTGCGATATATTCAGTTATTGAACTTCTGAAATCGAGTTTTTATCATTATTGAGTTGTTCGAACGCAATACCTGTTTTCGGTTAAATTGATGAATTCTAAATGCATCAACTGGGTTGGCTTCAATTTCAAAGCACACGCTATCAAAAAGCCGTAAAGGTGTCCCACGAGTCGCACCAATATTCGCGACTTGGGTTAAAAAAAACTTATTATAAATTCAGTTTATTATATTCCAAACTCTTACTTGCAAAATTGTGTCTATTTTTATTTGGTGTCTATTTCGCTGCATTGCATTGTCAATTTTTAAGCATAGGCATTGGTGAACACTGTTTTAATTGTGACTAGTCTTTGCCGATTGTTAAGCGTTCGCGATGGCAGGGCGCGAGACTCCGATTCTCGAGGCTGCAGGCTCGAAGCCAATACGTAGCAAAGTCGTACCAATTCGAGGCTCATTTCTATTTTCTTTTCTTTCACTTTAAAAAGCTTTTTTTTTGTCATGTTTTTGCTAGTGTTTGCTAAGAGCTGCTTCGCATCTGTGTGAAAATTTTATTAAGTTATTATTTCATGGTCAACCATTTCAATTTGTGAGCGCTGCCGAAGCCCTAGACGGATTCTTTTGCATACATTTATGCACCGTAAACAATTTTTGGTGAGAAAAGCAGGCTCGTTGAGCACCTTTCTTGACGGCTCAGAGCGAATTATTAATTTCAAATTTTCCTCAATTTTGTGTATTTAGGCGCCCAAATTTAGTGTATATGGGCGCCTACTGCCCGAAAAAATTGTTAATTTTTTTAAATAAAAAAGTTGAGTTTTTCTTAAATTTTAGCCTCTACCTTCATAAACGTGGTTTTTATTAAATTGTTTTGATGCATAATGATAACTCAGAAAGTTCTGTTTTCTTATTGTATCTAGTGGTGGCTTGGAATAACTTATTTTTCTCATCTATTCTGTCAACGTCGTGCGCAGTTTTTTTTACCCTGGGCTGCTTGTGTATGAACAAAAGTTGTCACAAAGCAACTTCGATGCAATGCAAAGGGATGCGATTTTAATTATTCCCCTAAATTAGAAGCTCTGTTTTTAAAAACTAAGTTAGCATTTTGGACATCAGTAAAAAAGGATTTATTAGCAAACTTTAATGATAGTTTTAATCACACAAATTCTAAATCTCCATTCTTAAAAGTATAAGAAATCTAAATTTGAAAAATATGCAACCATTCAAGAAAATCCGAAAGGGAAAATAAAAAAGCAATTGAGTCAGACATAGCGTTTTTTTTTTCAATTTACTTATAATTGCGAACTTAAATTTTCTCGTAAACAACTTTTCTTACAAATCTGACGGAAATTGATCGTGATTAATTATGAAACCTCAGTATCTTTGACGCCCTTCCTATTAGTCAAAGAGTAAAGTGAGTGCCTTGCGAGTTTATGATCTGGGGTTCGAATCCCTGCTGGACCTTGTTTCTTTCCGACTATTGAAAATGGGGAGGAATTTTGGCTTCGGGTTTAACAAAAAGGCTCAAATGATTTATCATATGAAAGCTTTTTTAGCCCTGATTCGAACCCTTTATAAAACATTTCCAAAGAAATTTGTTCAGTTTGCAAAAAAACCGAAATAAAATTTTTGATGTTTGGTCTAATTTCGAGCGAGCAGGCCTATAATTGGGATAAAAGACGTAAAAATTTTGTTCTTTATCTTAGAGTCTTAGCTCAGAACCATTATTGTTGAAAGCTTAATTTATCGTCTTCTTGACTGCAAAAAAGTCCTTAAAGATAAACAAAAATTTCTCCAAAAAATTTAAAAAAAATTTTTTAGAGGATTTTTTTGTTTTCCAATTAATTTTTTGGACTAAAATCAAATCGTTTTCAAATTTGCATTTTGTACTCATGCTATCGATTGTACTTATTTTCTAAGCTTATGGCCCTTGCGATAAGCAAGGGTATTGCAATCGGTTACTAGACCATTTTCCCGTCAATAACTTTAGGCACAGGACTCTCTTTTAATCTAGACTCATTTCCTGGAAGCCTCTGTTAGCAACAGATTTACCGCTAGAAATTAATTTTTTTCTGCATATTAGCATTTCAAATATATGTCCTACAAATTCATCTCTTTTATGTTGATTTTCTTTTTACCAACTCGATTTGTTCAAATTTCATTTTTGTTTCTTTTTTTTCGGCTTGTAAGGTTTCGGTGTATACCACCGCTTAGTGGCCTCATATCGCGTTATATCGTTCGACGAACGATTTTTTTCTGAGTGTATTTGTTTTGAGGGTGAGGTGGACTTGATAAGTTTTTACTAGTCTTGAATTTTTTTTCGGCTTTTTTATTTTTTTCTCGACTTAATTTTGTCGACCTATATTGTTGGACGAGCGAAAAAATTGTTTTTGTGAGTGTGCTTTGAGGGCGAGGAGACATTAAAATTTCTTACTAGTCAAAATTTTTTCAACTTTTTTTTTAATTCTTTTTTTTTCAGCTTAAAACTATCAGCTTAGTGGCACATCATTTTGTTTCATTTGACCCGCGAATAAAGTTTGTGTGTGTGAGCGTGTGTGTGTGTGTGTGTGTTGATGGTGAGGTGGACTTGATACGTTTTTGAATTTTTTCGGCTTGAAGGATTTCTGCCAAGATATTTTTGGCTTTGATACTGCTTGATTAATTTTCTTTCGATGCTAATTTTATCTTCTATTGTCTTGGCACGTTTTTGTTTAAAACTAGGCTAATTCATTTCGATAGATCTAGTTTTTTTGAAATTTTCGAATTTTTGCTTTTTTTGACGCAGCCGCTTTCTTGTTTTGTATCGAAAGTGGTGCGAAGCCCAGCTTCGCCTCTGTGTCACAATTTGCGAAAACTTTTTGTGGTGGGAACTTTCTTTATTTTTGCTATGACTTTATAGGCTTTAATAGCTACCGCTTTTGTTATATCGGTTTTATTGCCTCTTCATATGTTATTTCAAGGGAGAAAACCTATTTTGATGAGTTTTTGTGCTTCGAGAGGCATAAACATGGAGTCCTAATTTTTCTATAGTCAAAAATTTTTTAACGGACGTCTACCCAAGCATTGTCTGCCTAATTATCGCTCGATAATTGTTGTCTCAGCACCAATTTAACACAATGTATTATGTTTGTTCACTTGTTTTTCTCTAATTGAACATCATTTGAGACATTCATGAATTTTTTTTAGGTTTAGTTTTTTTCGTTGTTTTATCAACTATTTTTTTTCCTATACCTTTTTTCGATTTCGTGGGTTTTGTCTCATTTTCTAAACCCGCTAGCTTGCAAAGTTGTATGTGGGAAGCACACGGTTCGGTTTAGAAAAGCGGTTAGAGTATTTAAGCAGACCAATTCAGAGCGCAGAGAGCTAACATGAGTTTACTTCTGTCAACCGCCAGAAATTACTATAGAGATTGAATTTATTTTTAATGTTAATTTAAACGTTAATGGCTAGTTTTTCACCACGCATCTTACCTCTCTCTGTCAAAAAAAAAATTTTTTTTCAGGAATCAAAAACTGAGAAAAATAAATTATTGGAGCTAAAATTAGCACCTCCCACCTCCAAATATCAGAACTGGAAAAAAATGTATTCATGCATCAAGAAAACCGTCAATTTTGTCGCGCCATTTTTTGAACAGGTTATTCTCGACTTGGAAGATAGCCTAACAGAGAGCGGCCATTGTGCCCCCTTCTCTCTAATTGAGTCATACTTGATTTTTTTTTGTTATTTTTTGGGCGGGCAAATGTTGCCTCACCCTTGTTTTGCGAAAAATGTTCTCCCCTCCCCCTCCCCCACCCTTGACTTTTTTCTGTTCACATTGTCGATTAATACAAAATCGGACTAATTTGGCCATGAAAAACATATTTGGTCTTCATATCTTGTAAAACCCCTTGGTACAACATAAAATTGATGCTTATACCAGGTTAGGAGGGCGCGGGGAGAAAAGGTCAAACTTATGTGCATTAGGTCCTTTTGTCATGATAACAGCTCCTTTTTTGTTGCAGTTATGTGGATAAGGAGCCAGCTAGCGGGGAGACAGTACTTGCCAGCGACTTCAGTCAGGGTTTTGGTGGCAAGGGAGCCAACCAGTGTATTATGGCCGCCAGAATGGGCGCATCATGTCACATGGTCGGAAAGGTCAGCGCAAATTCTATTTTTTTTCTGTAGACTTCTTCAGAGTTTTAAGGTGTATTCTCCATGCTATTTTTGCTTATTTTGGTCAATTTAAAAAATTGGAGATGTCTTCGTTGCAAATTTAAAGTTTTTAAATTGACATCTCCAATTTTTCAAAAAATCTTTATTAGAAAACGAAGCGAAAATAGTTTTCAGCTCCATTTTTCAACTTAATTTATTCGTGTAGATGGGAATATATTTTTGGTAGAGTTCAAGAGCTTGTCCAATTTTTCTTAGATTATTTTGTTATTAGGTTGGAAGTGATCCTAACGGCGTGGAAACTTTGCAGAATTTCGAAAATCATCTCGTCAATAAAGGTATCTCTTGATAACTATATTCACTTTGCATTAATTCTGAATTTAAACTGATAGTTCTGATGAACTCACAATTACACCTGCGATATGCAAGTTTTTGGTAATCGGGTTCTAGTTTTTTTCTACTGAATTGTCGAAGGCATTTGCATTTATTTATTTTCTCGTTTTTCTTGACTCCATTGCTTCTGGATCATTTTTGGCTGAATTTCCAACTTATTCTTTTTTTTAGTTTTGAGTGTGAAGATTTGTATCGAAACAATACGCTTCTAAATTTTAGATGTATATAATGTTTTTTAAAGGTCGATGAACTTAGCTCAGATTCTTATATAGGTCATGATGATTTTTTTCGCATTTTTTTTCCAGGAAAAGTCTTAAAATGCTCTTATAATAAAAGAAGTGCATTCATGCGTGTAATCTACGAAAGAATGCCCATAGATATACCTGTACTCTTTGAGTTCAATTCAAGTTAATTTGCTAGAAGGTAGGCAAAAGCACTCTCCAGTTATGAAAGCTGAAATGGCTCGAAAAAAAAAACTTGATTGATTTCTAGTTTAGAAAGTCGAATTTATTTTTTAAGATTTCCCAGCGGAATTTTTTTAAATATTCCAGTTTTCTCAAATTGGGTTTATTTTAGAAAAAAGTGCCAAGTATTAATTCTTTGAACTTCGAAAGTCAATTTGAAATCCGAAAGTCAATTCAAAAAACAAGTCAATTTTTTATGTTTCTTTGCGTTCATTGAGTCTTTTCCAACTCTGTTGGCTATGTTCTTATTTCGTAGTTTTATTTAATGCGATGTGCTTGATGCGTTTAGGTAGATCATATAAACTTGTTTCTTGAAAATTTTTGGGCGTTGTACACATACAATGCCCTGCTTTACTCGATATAAAAGCGGTTGTTATTTAAGATCCATAAAATTGTTACAAATTTAGAGTTTATTGTGTCAAAATTATCTAGAAGCTTAGGAGTAGGCTTCTTTTTTCGGGGTCTTAAAGCTCTAACATGCTCGGGTGAAATTTCCGGGAAAGTAATGGATGGTGATAGTAAAAAAGTAGGGGATCAATGGAATAAAAGTTTCGATAGAAAGTTACGAAGCCTGTGCTAATGATGGTAAAGAAGTTTTAAAATGCATTCTGATTTTAAATATTTCGAATGAGACCAAATTTTGAATTGCTCATTTTGTTTTCTGTATTATAACGCGGAGAACGGCGTTGGGAACTGTTTTTGGTTTTATTTAATGCTGATTTACTGGCGGAATGGGGGCAACAGTAATCTCAATTTGGTCTCATCGAAGCCTCGGATGTATCCGTTGATATTTTTATGGACTGGCCCCGAGAAGTACCAGATAAAACCTTTGGTATCCATTTCTTGCTTGGGGCTTTTGCGGATGTTCGCATGCAGTGCTCAACGAAGTTCAGAGACTTTTCGAAGAAAACACCGAGTGTTTTAGTGTACCATGAAGGAGATTCGGGGGAGTGTGATGCCAAAACATAGCGAAAGCTTTAGATAAGTCTGCTTTAGCTCGGGCAGTTTTTCAGAACTGCCCTATTCGTATTAGACGGCATTTGCTGGCTAAAACCGATAAAAATAATGAAAAACGTAGAATGGAAAACGCTTTGGTTGTTCAATACACCGGGTGGAAGCAATTTTTCTCCTTTTTTTCTCCCAATTGATGCGAATATTAGCTTCGCGTCTTAAATAGAAGTAAATCGAACCGCTATGGTCTTGAATTTAAGTGGTAACCAATTCTAAGACGAACCGTGAATGAAATGAATTTTTGGATAAGGCAGTTCTTATGTTGGTCGCCTATATTGGTTGAAAATCCAATTACACGCGCAAGCGTGCGAGCTTTGAGTTATATTACGATTGCACTTTTCCCGTTCCTTTTTTCTCATATTCAAGATTGTGTTTCAGATTCAGTCGAAGTCGATAGCTCATCACATACTGGCGTCGCTACAATCTCAGTGGAAAAGTCCTCGGGCAAAAACAGAATCATAGTGGCTCAGGGAGCTAACAAGAATGTAGACGCATTTTTTATTGGAAGCCACTCGAGTGCATTTGAGAACTGTAGAGTTACGCTAGCTGGGATGGAGGTTATGCAAGATGCTGTCATCGAGGCATTGAGACGGGCAAAGAACTTTAAACGTATTTGAATTTGGGCTCTTTTCCACTCCCCAAATGCATGAGGCTTAATGCGTGAGTTGTCCTGTACGATATCATTACCAGGCCAAACTGTGCACTGGATAGGCGCATAATTTTGTGTCTGTATGTTCCTGGATTCCAGAGACAAGTCTTTAAACATGTTAAAACTTTGTCGGAACGATCAAAGGAAATGAAAGAACAAAAAAAGAAAAAAGGGAGCGTCCTTGTTGCGGAATCCGTTTACAATTCACAAAATACACAGTTTGGCCTGGTAATAATGAAAAAAATGTGATCACAATAGGTAATTTGTTCACCGTGCTCGTTGTTTGGTGACTCATTCTTTTGCGCAGTGAACAAATTAGATTTAAAAATGGAATTAAAATGTCAAGGAGTGGAGAAGAGCTCAATTTTTTGCTGACTTGTCAATAAAAGCTACGGTCTTAATTCAAAAGAGGTTACACCCGTTAAGCGAGGGTTAAAAGTGCACCAAAAGCTTATGAAAATTGTAATTTGTTAAGAAATAGCTATAAAGCAATCAGACATGTGGCCAAAATGTATGTCTATTTTGTGTAAGCGAAACCCAAGGGAGCGTTGAAAATTTCAAAAAAAGTATATATTAACTTTGCTCATGTTCAATGAAAGTCGATTCATTATCGATAAATATACAATATTTGGTAACTGTTAGGGTTTATAACTTTTAGCAAGCCTATATTTTGCGGCAGGTACTACTATTTTGAACCCTGCTCCTGCTCCAAACGGATTCAACCAGGAACTCTTTAATCTGGCTGACGTCTTGTGTCCAAACGAATCCGAGGCAAGTACGTTTCTCTTTATCTCGTTTCCTGTTCTTTTTTGGGATATTTGCAAAATGTAAATATATTTTTTTCAATTTCTTTGCCTTCTCCTCACGGATTAATTTTGAATTATAGACTTTTATATGTATAAGACAAACTTCTATCTGGACCATCTCATCTGTACGTGTTTTTTTTTGTATCTTTTCTTTATTGGAGAGTATTTTTTCACTCTCAGCTGATGAGCGCATGCAAGTTTACTATCGCTTTACCCTCCCTGAAAAAAACTTTGAGTATTGTACTTTTTGTAGCTCCAAATTTTTTATGACAACCATATTTTTTTTCGACTTAAGGGGTCGACTCAAGTTTTTTTGGCTTAATTGCCGCTCGGCTTTGAGATGTCAATTTTTGGCTGACTGACCCTAAAATTTTTTCTAAAGGCGCCCTTGGCGCCAAAATATGCTAATTTTGAGGGGAGAGAGCGCGCCGAAAAAACGCAATTTTTGGGTCAAAATTTTCAAAAGTTCCTAAAAACGCGGAGCAGAAATTTTTATAGTGATTTGGGAGAGATCAGAAAATCAATTTGGTCGACCTAAAAAAAGTCGACAAAGTTTTCGAATTTTTTTTAATCCACCCCTCCCCCTCGAGAAAATCCTAGATCCGCCCCTGCTTAAGACTGTTTATTAGCGCCATCAGGAACAAATGTATGAATCTTTTGTAGATGTTGTTTTTTCAATTTTTTTTTTCAAGTTTTTTTTATCTTCCGTCTTTATCTGTTCAATATTTTGTAATGCGATCTTATTTATGTTTCGAAGCCCCGCTGTGTTTCTGCGTTAGTTTAAAATTTTACTCATAACGTTTAAAATTTGTTTATGCGTTATGGAACCTGATCTAAACTACATTTTACAATTGGATAAATTAAATGTTTTACCACTGTAAGATATTTAATATTAACCAATCATAATCCATCTAACTAACAACCCATTTATTTGTAAGTGCTGAAACTACTTGTAGTTTCAGCACCAGAGAGATTTGAATTTAACTTAGAAATTAGTTGCCTCTCCAAGAGAACTTCAGCAGCCGCAATAAACCAGTATACCCTAGATCTATTGAGCCTAGCAGAGACTAGTTAAACACCCTGAGACTAGTAAGTATAAGAGTAAGACTAGGATCGGTATTAGACTAAGAAGTTGCACGAATCTATCCGGCCGAAAATAAGATAGCGTGACGAGCAGACGGTTTACCTTATCCGAAATTACTCTATGAGTTAACCACATCGGTTCTAACTCATCTGGTGCGACCATAAGTCTCGAATAAGACCTTAATAGCTTAGAACTAACCAAAAATAGATTAGAAATTAGACAAAACATTTTCAAAATGTTATACGATAATAATTTAATTGAAATGTCTCTACGACTCAATAGATCAGAGCCGATATTCCGAACGATAATAGAACTACCCGGAATTGGAAGAAGACCTCGAACAAGAGACAACATACGACAAAGTAGAAACTTACCATTTAGTTTTATGATTGTACGGCAAAAGCCAACACAAACTTTTATATTTAGAATCTTATTAGCAATGAATTTAGATTTTCATCTGCAAACATAAAATTTTGAAGTAAATCTTCATGATCATTTCAGGCGCTAAAAAAATTATTAATGTACAATAACGATTGATAAAAAGATCTCAGATCGTTTTCTTAATTTCTGCAGTATTATATAAAACATATTTGCAAAATATTTATTTAAAAATAAAAATAAAAGTTAGTAGCATGACAATAAATTGTTAGTAATCATAAATCATTCGTTGTCCCAGCTCCATCACCTAAACATAACAGCAATCATAAGCTCACTAATATCATTAAAGAACTAAATCTTTTATTCAATAAATTTAAATCATTTTAAACTTAAATTCACTTAATTTAAAAAAAAAATCAGATCATCAAGGCTTAACCTTGGATCTTAATAATTGTTCTATCTCAATAAATTTAAAATGATCATCAAGGCCTATCCTTGGATCAACAGAACAATTTTGTTCTCCCCCACCCACTTAGCAAGTGTTTAACGACCTCAAACGTCGATTCACTATCCAACCCTTCCAAAAGACCCAGGACTAATAAAAAAATTTTAAATAAAACTAACCATTCAAATTAAGATAAACAGTGAAGAACTTCGGTTATTCATCCTTCACTTGAACCCTCCTCTTACCAGACCCAGGATAGATCTTAGACTTAGTAAATTTAAAATAGTATCTAACAAACTACTTGCGTTCGAATTATACCTGAACCTTGTGGATCGATTTACTATTCTCCAAACCTTGAACACAATCACTACCCCTAAGTAGAATTAAGTAAGTTAACACCTTAGCTTAGATTAGCCACGAGAAAGTAGAAAATCATTATCCGGAATCGATATACTTTTCTCTCCAACCCTGAACAAAAAGACCCAGGTTAAGCTAACCAAAAAATCGTAAGGACTAACAGTCTAAGGAAATAGAAATAACTAACAACTTCTTGCATCCCTCATCCTAAACCTTATGTCATTCAAAAATTTAGGAAATAAACAAACAATCGTTTTACACTACTGTGAAATAGATAACAAAAAATACGATCTTGTAATCACACCTCATACACAAACAGTTGGATACATTAGAACAAAACGACAAACAATAAAAAGAAAAATTATAAACAAACAAAGACAAATCACACGAAAAAGATTTTCAAAAAATAGAAACGCTTTTTCTGAATCAGAAGCCAGCAGTTTAGATGAACTCTACAATTTAAAAGAATCAATTGATAAAAATTGTCCCATTCACAATCAATTATATTTTTCCGACTCAGAAACAACTTCAAATTCATCAAAAAGAGGAAAAAGAAGAATAAAAAAGCAATACAAACCCAAACCAGTACACTTGTATAATTGGAATCAACCAATTAAACACATTGATAGTTATATATTAACAGTCATCAGGCGAAAAAATGAGCCACACTCAAAGTGACGATAGTCCAGATGACGAAGCAGTTTACCCCTTTCTTATAGATTCACCCGATGATAGAGGTCAACATGATTTTTGCAAGAACTTACTCGTAAATTTGTTTGAACCCGGAATCAGTCTATGCAAAGCAGAATTCCCAGACGTAAAAATCAAAAGACAAATTATTGAACATTATTTGAAAGTTATATGTAATCTATATACTTATACATCTATATTAGAAAAAACAGAATTTCAAAGTATCTCACCAACTGAAACATCCAAACATACAAAAGTACGAAATGAAATCGCATTATTTTCAACATTCCTACATATAATTAAAGAAAATTTCACTAAAGATGATGTTTAACAACACACTAAACATGATTTACAAAAGATTTTAGCATGGTTCATAATAGATTATTTCACCCACAATTTAGATTTAATTTCACAAGCAAGAAAAAATTTCAGACCTCAAAATACAAATGACGACACTGTCCTTTCAGAACAATCAGACTACGTTTGGGACCCTGAATGGTCTCATCCTACATTTATAAATATCCCACAATCTATCTCAAGTCAAGCAATAAGTACAATATCTTATCACAGAGATTATGTAAAAGTAGTACCATTAACCATTGATGCAACACCATTAAACTATAATACATTTTTACCTGATACGCGAAATAACAGTTTAAATTCGACCGTCATACATAATGAAAACCTTAATGGAACTAGAAATCTTACACAACAAGATATTCAAACACCATCACACTTCATAAATGAAGAAATCGTCCAAACAACAACAACTACACAACAAAGTATTTCACCAATACACCCAAATTTGACAACACCAAGAAATACAAATACATCATTGGCACAAGTAACCTTACAATCAACTGTTAAACCTTCGGTTGATCAAAAATATTCAAATATGGATTATCAAACGAATAGACCAATGAAAATACCGTGAAAAACACGAAAACCATTAAAAGGAAACACCTTTGCAGAACACAATTATAATTATGCTCACAAACTAAGAACAAACCAACTTCCTCGAAAAAATACACAAAATTTCAATCACGCATGTTCCAATTATTGGAATCTCCCGAAAACATCAACCAATTCAGTAAATTTTCTAGATAATCCACAACCTACACAGGATTATAGTGAAAATTACCCATTCTCTCAGCAAAATAAAAATAATCAATATACACCATATAATACAAACTATTTATCATCTGATGAAGACGACTATCACCAACCAGGTATTTTTGCACCATACACTAAAGAATATCGCACACAAAGACCACGACAACCTCAACCATCTCGAAATATAAAAATTTACCCACAAAGCCCAACAGATGTACAAAATCCACAACAAATGCATATACAAAAGCCATTTAATACACAATCTTTTCAACCAATACAACCACAAAACCCAATGTCAATGCACTCTTATCAACCAACTCAAATGCAAAATGAAATACCGCTTACATATTACCTTCACCAACACGAAATAACAAAAAATCAAGTGTCAAATTTTTCGCAAATGCCAAATGCCGCAGAATCACTACAGATGACAATGAATCCATACCTCATGGGTGGATCATCAATAACATCCAATAAACCACTGATGGTATTCACAGGAACAGATCTTGAATATTCTGTAGAAGATTATTTAAATGCAGTAACAGCAAATTTAATTTTAAATATAGGACCTGGACCAATTAATACGCCACTACATCAAAATTGGATACATAGACGCACAGCATTAATACAAACAACCCTAGATGGCGCAGCTCAAAAATGGTTTTCAGTATTACCTAAAGAACTAAAATCAGATTGGAAAAGATTCACACAAGAATTTTCAAAAATGTTTGACTCTGAAAGAAACAAACAACACCAAAGAGTTTTATGTAATGAAATTCGCAGATTACCAAACGAAACTATCGAACAATTAGCAGTACGTATCGAAACACTAGTTCGAAAAGCATATTCACTTAATACACATGACTATAAAAACACAAAAATGACAGAAATTTTAATG